TTGGTGCCGAGCGGCTCGGGAACTTGTGATTCTTGCTGAACACACCGCGAAGTACCTTTCTTGCGTATTCTTGATACTTTCTGAATAGTCTGGATTCTACCGTCGAGGCACGCGGCTTTTCAACTTAACGTAGCATAAACACCGAGCAGCTGCAGATATAGTGCTTGTATCTGACTTGCTGTTCGGTCGACACAACCCGGGCTTTCTGCGCTTAGACAGCTGCCAGGCTTTTCTTTTACACAGGTGAAGTACACTGTACAGACGTGCTTGGATGTGCCATTCTATCAACTTCACTAACCAGGCAACTCATTCTCTAGACAGGGTACTGCTTGCTCGAACTGTATCTGATTCTGGAACTTCGGAAGAACGACGAACCTCCTGTAGATGCATAGCATACTCATCACTCCACCCGCCGAGCGGATGCTCTGCATATAGGGAACACAAGTATCAAACCACGAGCACGTTTGCCTAAACTCATTTACATACCATACCATGATTAATGAAGAGACGGAAATAGTTTATAACATAGTTTGCACAAAAAAGTTAAGAACCTCGAGGACTCTGCCATGTCTTTAACAGAAGCACAAGATCATCAGGAGAATCGAAGCAGCTCCCAACAGCAAGAACTATGGTGAAGTTTTGAAGAGAAACGAACAATTCAATTATTCTTCCAAAAACATTTAAGATTCTAGAAACAAAGCTAATAGAAATGCACTCAACGAAAACCATCTACAGACCTTGTGGCAAGGAGAATTGAGATATGATATATGCAAATTTAGCACAGGAAGCTGCCGCTTCAGGACAAAAAGGACTTTGAACGGTGCATACCTGCTAATTTTTATCAATAGATTGGGAACCATAATTTTTTTTAATTTTCTAATTATGCTATGAGTTGGGAGCAGCCTCTCCATAAATGGGGGTAAGGCTAGCCGACATTCACCTCTCCCAGACCCTGCGTAAAGCGGGAGCCTTGTGCACTGGGTACGACCTTTTCTAATTATGCTATGAGAAAAAAATCAAATAATATGTTGAGAAACAGTACTCTGATAAGATTAGCGCGGAGTTCCTTCGGTATGAAACTGTGGCTCATTTCGTACCGAGGAAAGTGCTTAGAATTTGCTGTGGGTGAACCCCCTATCCAGGCCGTAGAGCTTCTAATGCCATATCACCAGAAGTCCTTACAGGAGCAAGTTCCATTCTTAAAATGATGAAACCGCCTGATGTCGCGAACAACTATTTCCTGATTTGTGACATCTGAGACGAGCTTCATAATGTCATGGCAGTCACCACAGATGCGTAGATTTGTAAAAATCCGAATAGTTTTTGGATGATTGGTACTTATGAAGGCAAAACCAAGAGCCAACCTTTCACTATGATATTGGAGATGTTCTTTTTTTTTCTCTTTCAGTGATATCATGAAGCACGTCTTCTGTTTCCGGTATATAACCTAATGAAGTTAGCTTTTTGCCTAGTTCCTCCAATTTCAAATGTATATCCCCGATTCTTGGATGCATACCATCTTGAGAGACAAAAATGTTGACTTGACCATCAACCTCAACCCAGCTACAACCAGGTTCTTTTTTAACACCCTGACTCTGCATTAATTTCCTGACTTTGCTAACATCGTCCCACCTGCCTTTGACTGCAAAGATATTAGATAGCAAGATATATGCTGAATCCATCTCAGGTTTAAGCTCAAAAAGCTTTCTTGCAGCTGTTTCACCAAATTCAACATTTCCATGCATCTTACAAGCCCCAAGAACAGTCTCTCAAATAATGGCATATGGTGTTAGTTCCTTTGTCTTGATGAAGCTTTCAATCTCATTAAACTTTCCAGCCCTGCCGAGAATATCAACCATACAAGCATAATGCTCAATTGTAGAAGTGATCCCGACAACATTGGTCAGAGAATCAAAGTACCTTTTCCCTTCTTTGACTAGACCCAGGTGGCTGCATGCAGAAAGAACACCAATGAAGGTGATCTCATTTGGTATGGCGCCTTCATCCAACATTGTCGAAAACGCTTCAAGAGCCTTCTCTCCTTGCCCATATTGGGAATATCCGCATACCATGATATTCCATGCCACTGTATCTCGTGAAAGCAAACCCTCAAAGATATCCTCAGCATCACTTATGCACCCACATTTTGCGTACATATCAACAAGTGCACCAGTAACAAACAAATCTTCCAGATGCCCACTCTTAATTACCATTAAGTGGAGCTGCCGCCCATTTTCCAGCACAGCTGTACGGGAGCAAGCACTCAAACAGCCAGCAATGCTGAACTCGTTTGGCTTTACACCTTCTTGTTGCATCTTATTGAAGCAAGCAACAGATTTCTCTGCTTGATCAGTTTGTGCATAAGCAGTAATGATGACTGTCCAAGTGAAGAGGTCTCAATTACTCAATCTATCGAAAGCTTTCACAGCATCTTCCACGAACCTGCCTTTGGCATACATGTCAATGAGAGCTGTCCCAAGAAAGTCATTATCATCGAGGTTAGTTTTGATAATATGAGAATGTACTTGTTTTCCAAGGCCTACATCCAAGAGGATAGAGCAAGACCTTAAAACACTAATGAATGAGTACATGTTGGGCTTCAAACCTTCGACAAGCATTTGGTGGACAACTCTTGGCCCTAGGTCAGATAATTCATGATTGTGCGCTCCGGATAAAAAGGCATTCCATGAAATCAAATCAGGGTTTGTCATAGCCTCAAAAATCTGAGTACCATCTAGAAAACGCCCACTTTTAATATACATTGTGATTAGAGCATCGCTGACTGAAATATCAATTTCACAACCATATTTCCACACAAAAGCATGGATACTTTCACCAAAATGAAGGTCTCGGAGATCAGTGGCAGCACAAATGATACTAGAAAGGTTAAATTTATTTGGTGAGATGCCTGTGCTTATCATTTCACGAAATAGCTGAGGCACTTCTTTCCATTGCCCTTGTTGCTCAAGGCAAGAGATAACTGCACTCCAGGCCACTACATCAGGTTTTTCAATCATCCTGAATGCTTTTACTGCATCGACTGCCATCCCACACTTCGAATACATATCAACGAGACTGCAACCCAAGAATTCATACATCTGAAACCCAATTTTGACTACTAGAGAATGCAAAAACTGACATCCTCTCAAATTTCCCGAGTTCGCACAACCTTTGAGGACAGTGGACAAGGTGGACTTGCTCAACCTGATTTCTGATTCTGTCCCAAACCTTTATTTCCGTCACCTTCCTGAGCATGCCCATTCAGCAGTGCATTCCATGATACCACATCCTGCTCAGGCATACAAACTAACACTCTATCTGCAAGTTCCATATCACCACATTTTGCATAAAGACCGACTAAACCAGAACCAACAAAAGCATCTGAAAACAACCTCAGTTTTACCGCTTCAGCATGCAACTGTTTCCCAAAACCTAAATCGGAGCACAAAGAACATGCTTTCAATCCAGTCGCCAATGCAAAGTATTTGCTTTGGTACCATCTTTCTTCATCTCACAGAACAATTTAACAGCATCAACACCAGAAACTTCAACTACAAACCCTTGAATTAAAGAAGTCCACGACACAACGTCCCTTTCAGGCATCACGTCAAGAACTTTACGTGCGTACCCAGCGTCCCCACATTTTGCATAAACATTAACCAACGAAACCCACAAATGCAAATCCGGATCAATCCCTTCTTTTATCACCTGCCCATGATTCATGAACAGCCTTCCCCTCATTCAAAGATCTTAGTGAAACACAGGTTCGAAGCATCCCAGAATAACGCATAAGCCTCTTTTTGGTATCGAAAATTAGAAGCCCGGCAGTTTTCACATTGTTCCCCGCTATTTCCTGATTAGATGAATTGCCATTATCTAATCTTACTTGACGAAGCCGAGTCTCAGAGTTTGGGGCATTTTCAAGGGACGAAACACTAATGGGGTTCGAATCAATCACATCCAGAGCAGCACAACACAAAGGTTTACATGGGCAGAGAGAAATAGTGAGCTGGAAACTGGACTAAGCTTGTTATGCAATCGAACCGCGGACGAGGATCTTGGGAAAATGGGCAACAAGTGGCTCCGTAAAGCAGGTGACATTCCAAGACCAATTAAGTCACATTCCATCTGTCTGAAACAGTTTTCAATTACCAAACAAATCAAAGTAAAGGGCTTTATAAACACAGACACAAAATTCTATTGAGATATCGGCACACAACAGAAAATCACCAACAAAAAAGAACTAAAAAATTCAAGTTATATAGCTTATATACAAAAATTTACACAATTTATGTATCAGCGGAGATCAAGTTCAACAACGTATTCCCAATTTTTCAGAAGATAAAAATAAAAAATAGAGCTTTTCACTTACAGGTGCCACCAGGACGGTGACGGATGAACGCCGGCGACGGTGCTTGCCGACTCTCGCAACAGCTCGTGCCCCCCCCCCCCCCTTCTCTCCCGGGTAGGGCAGGGTTTAGGGTTTTACTTGGAAGACTTGAAGTCTTAAACCCCAACGGTCCTCGCGGGTAATTTTTGGCGCCTGGCGGCTTTGTGTTGTCTGGATAAAGATGATGTGGCGGGAAACGATGTCTTCTGAACTCAAAATGCGGTCCTTACGTGTGGGATCATTCGACACCGTTAGATGAAATCCAGCGGTTGCAATTCTCAAGAAATTTGGCACCCAAATTTTCCTTGTTCCCCCAACTTTCAATGAATTTTATAAATTTTAGCCATGAGTATATTGACAATTCGACAGTGTTTAACCGAACAAGCGTCTTATTATTCCGCGGGAAGCGACCGAACGTACCTCACATAGTTTAGCGAAAGAAGACAAACTCACAAGTACGTGTTCGGCCAATCAGGACCGAACTGATGCGGTGGACCTTGGAGGAACGGGCACTCGAACACTGAATTTTGTGTGCAAGGATGAATGGCCGTAACTACTTGAACTACAAGGCACAAGCTAACTGAGAGAGAGAGAGAGAGAGAGAGAGAGATTGTGTGAACGAATGGGAAGAGTTCTGCCCCCTTGTTATTGATTTCTCGTCATCATAAATAAAAAGTCAATCCAATTTGTTTATGAAATTTACAGACAGACATCTCCCAAAGGAATGAATGAAAAGAAACACTAAGGGGACTCTCAAAATACTCTTTATGGACTATCTGCCACCTTATGTTTTTAGCGTAATGTTTTATAATATTGACACGGAAATTGAAGTTAGACTGTGAGGTGGCAGAAAGTCCATCGAGAGTTCCACTTGGGAGTCCCCTTAGCATTTTTCATGAATGAAAGTCTCCCTCCTTATGACTGACTACAAAAGAATGAACCAAAGTTTCCTCCCTCCCTACTATTTAATAACACATTCATATATTCTTCTTCCCTTTTTGTATCTACACCAACCTCTTCCCCTCTCCCTCCCTTTTCCTTCTTAATCAATGAAAGATTTAACAAAAAACCAAAAAACGAAGCAACTTCTCGGAACCTAACATTCACATTGCACTGCATTGTTTCCAATTTTCTGCCTGTCTTCAAACAGTCATAGGCTGAGTGAAACACGGGTCTTTATCGGTTTTAGTTTCAAGCCCATGCTTTCTGGGGAGAGAAGCTCCGGGGAGATGCAAGATGGGCTGAGCGGGCTCCTAGGGCTGTCGCTGAAATGGCATGGCCGGTACAGGCCATACCCCATTAAGAAGTATTCCATTGGTATCAACATTGCATGTGGCTGCTCCTCTGTTACCATGGATCCGCAAGCCTGGACCTGCATTAACAACCCCATCCATCCTCTATTGAACACACTCTTTCGATTCTTTTCACAATCGTATGCAAGTCTACCGATGAACGTACAAAAACAAGCGAAACAGAAAAAGAGTGAATGTACCTCTACTAAGGCACTGTATCTCCTGTCCAACTTTGAGGTCATGTGGAGAGCCTCAGAATGGAAGGGAGAGCTATCCCCAACAAAAATAAGCGTGCGACACCTTAGCGATTTTAACCCTTCTGTTATGTCAGGTCTCCTGGAAGTAGTGAAAAAGCAAAGTTAGAGCACAGCAAAATATATTGCACTCGTCTCTACGGAGGGAAAACAAGAAAGCAAATCCAGCACTATTTACCGATTAATTGCTTGAAGAAATCTCCAAACATTTAAGCTCTGCCTCTCTTCCAGCAACTGAAGAAGTAAACTTTCCAAGTGAATCAAACAGATAAAGCCTTTTGAAAATCCAATAATTAAAAAACACAAAAAACAAGAAAAAAAAAGGACAATAAAATTGCTATGAAGGTAAACGATTTTTAAATAAGCTGAAGCACTGACTTTTCTGCACGCTTGAACTATATCTGACTCTGGAACTTCAACACTACCACGAACATCCTGTCGAGATACATAAGTACTCATCACTCAATCTACCAAATATGGTAGAAGTGGGAGAAAAAAGGTACGTTGAAAGAGCACAGCAGTACCTTACTGAAGTAGCGCTGAAGCATACACTCTTTTAGCAATCCACACATGCCATAGAAATATAGCATATTCGACATCACCTACAGATTAAACTAATCATAGGTAAAATATTTTGATATTTTAAAATTTGCTCTTAAACATAACAGCTAGGTTTAGAAAAAGGAACCTTATTATAAAACCATTCTGTCCAAGACGGCGCTTTGCATAAAGGGGATACAAGTATCAATCCAAGGACACGCTCCCTATATTTCATCTATGATGCAAATCCTGATCGGTGAACCGAGACAGAAATTTTTTTAAACATTGTTGCAAACAGTTTAAGGAACTTACAGCAAATAAGGAAAGGATATAAGCACCCGCTGTCACCCCCATACACATAACCGCACCAAGCCTGCACAAAGAGATTGTAGTGCAATCAGAAACTAGTCGCTGACTCGCCGTGCCAAGATCTCATCAGAGAAAACAACATTAAGACATTATTAATGAAAAAGGAAACGCGCTTCTACACCATTTGAATGTTGAAAGCAACAGCAAAGAGTTTCAAACACTCATAACTTGCAAATCAATTAAAAATGAAGACACAGTGTTGGTAGTTACCCAAAAAAATTGAGAACCTCGAGGATCTGATCTGCCAAGTCATCAACTGAAGGCACAGGATCATCTGGACAAATTGAAGCAGCTCCTAACTGCAAGAACTCTTGTGAGAATTCCAAAGAGAAACTATGTGAAAAATGGCGTTCAGTTAAATAAAGTCTTTTTTTTCATAAAAATTATATGATTCGATAAACAGATATAATTAAAATCCACTTGAAGCAAACCATTTACAGACCTCATGGCCAGGAGGACTGATATGATATATGCAGAAGTTGTGAAGCAGCAATGAAGCTGCTTCCGGACAAAAGAATAACCCTTGGAAACAAGACACATCTGCTCCATTTAACAAAATAAACAGAAAACTTAAGATATGATATATGCAGGAGGACTGATATGATATATTGAGAACTTTGATGTCCACTGAGAAAATAATGTATTAAAATTTTGTCAGCAAGAACAGCAAAGGGTAAAACTCAGATTGCCATTTCAAACAATGAAAAATGGATCCAGGACAATCAATAGACTCTTTATCACACTTACGATTTAGAGCTAAATCAGGATAAGTGATAAGTGAAGGCTTCTCTTGGTCACCATACACGATAACGGATACAGAACCACGGCCAGTTCGAATAAAATGTTCCTGAGGATAAAAAAACATGATAAATGAGTTGCAGATTGACAACTAAATGTAATTGTCAAAGAAAACATCATAAAGCTGCAAATAAACTATTTTACTACCATGATATTCTATATGTGATTCAGCTAAAACATTTTACCCTCGAGATATCTACTGTGTCTTATCTATAATCCAAATAAGAGAAAAAAAAAACCCAGGAATCCAGCTTTTCCAGATAATTTTATTCCCTAAAGAGCTTCCCATGTGCACAACTCACCTGCCTTGTCTTCAAGTTAACTTTGTAAAAAATGGATGAAACAAATAAGTGGTTCAATCATTTAAATCTTTTGAAAAATGAAGAAAAGAAAGTGGTGACAATTAAAAAGAGAAGCATGGAATCAAATATATTAAAGAAGAAAACGACTTTAAACTAATCAGAAACCAATAAAAAAAGAGACGATATAGATGACTTGTTAGAGCAACAACTAGGCTTGTTAAGAAAGTAGAGAAGTAAGACAAAGGAACGTATAACTTTGGTATCGCCAATAGACGGTAAAGGACTTTGAATAAACCGCGGAGATGGCCTCATCGAAGCAACCCGCTTTTTGCCAACAAAGAACATCACATAGCAAGTAAAGAATCAAGAAACCAAAAAAGAAGAGCAAAAAAAGTGAATGAGAAAAGATAAAACCCCGTATTACAGAGGTGACGCTGAATTTCCAAGAAATCAACAAAAGGGTCTAATCAATACTCTGTACACTAAATAATCCAATTTTATCCAAAACATTCAACTTTTCGCATATAAGTTCGAAACTCGAACAATACCACAATGAGATTAGAATAAAAAGAGAATGCAGCAAGAAGATGTTAACATATACAAATCCCAAATACAGAAATGCACGCGAAAAAGGAAAGAATTCGATGTACCTAGCAAATACGTCACGCGCAGATATAGAAATTACCATTTCTATATCTACAGCATCCCAAAAATTAATTTTTTCGCAAAACCGATATCAAGAAACTTCTGAAACTAAATTGTTCTAATGTTCCTTTCCACTGAATCAAGCCAAATTAGTCGTTGCTGTCAAATACCACAGGTCCACAGAGGACTTGCGGCAGGGGATAAAGCAAGAACCCAGAATACAAATTTTACAGAAATGCAGCTTTCCAATAAATTTTCCCTCGTTTTCTCGGCAACCAAACAGTAAATAACTCCAAAAATTCAATGGATTCCAACCCCAATTTTCCAGAATCTGAACCCAAGAACAAAACTGCAGAAAATTCAAATTTTGCAATAGATAAACTAAAAAAATCTGGACCCAATGCCAAACAGCTCCCAATCGATTACCCCAACCTCTCATCTCGCCGACCCAAAATCCCAAAGCAAAAGGGTAAAAAACAACAGATAGAAAGCTAAAAAAAAATCAATCTTTGAGGTAAAATGCTCGAACCTTTCCACTGAGATAGATCTTCTCCATATCGAGGGAGACGGCGTCATTTGATTCAGCCATGAATTGCACTCAGCGCGTCTCCCAAACAGCCCTCCTCTCTCTCTCCTTCCCTGAGTTTCTCTCTCCTCCTTTTCTTAGTAAGCCTCTGGCTTCGCTGTGGCTTATATACAAAGCCACTCCCCCTCTCTCCTCTCTCTCTCTCTCTCTCTCTCCTCTCTCAACCGAAAAAATAACCTGCGGTTAACCACCACCGACGCTCGCAACGCCTAATCCGTCCTAACGGAATTTTCAAGTCGTTAAAATGTTTTTTACCCGCTGTCAAATTCTAGCGGGTGCTTCTATACGGCGCCGTATCTGTTAACTTTTTCGCGGCGATTGGATTTACCGTAATTAGATGCGAGTTTTACGGTTCCGGATTTACGGCTTCGTTTCTTTGACTTGGAAGCGAGATGTTGATAGTGGCATTCCCCCTTACCTCATCATTGTCTGTTTGACTGAAAGTATTTGGTGTCCTAGTGACGTGGACGCCTGTCATTGGATGGTTTTTCTTGTGGGTCCCATGTGAGCCACGCACTTTTTTTTTAATTTTGTATGAGGAAAAAAAGAAGAGTTCTAACCAAAATAAAATAAAATGCGGTACATGGTTTTGGGGGACTTTGAAGTTACAATTGCTTTGTCTTTCATCTGACTCAATGATTAATCATGCCACCTGAATCATGATTCTGATGGAATCTCTTTCTTGACCACATTGTTTGCATGGTGAGTTTGCTCTTAAGTGAATTGTTTGGGGTATGCATTAGCTTTCCGCTTTCAAGTTGGACGACACGACACGAAACAGAAAATGACAATTACTCGTTTTTCAAATTAGTATTCTTAAGATAAAGAGTAGGGTGGAAAATGAGGAAAGCTCTTAGTTCCTGGCCTACAAGACGATACTTCAGTTATTTGAAAGTATTCGTTCTTACTTACTTGTTAATTATAATTTGCCACGTATGCATAAGTTTTTTGTTTCAATTTTGACGAGTTATTTCTTTGAGTGTGTCATATAGTGACTTGCAAGTAAGATAAGTAACTACTTACAGGAAAGGAATAAAGTTGTAATGCATTTTTAGGTGGCAATTGAATTAGTTGGCATTAAAAGGAATATACTTGAATTAGGCTAACAAATGTTTGAAAGAATATTTGGCAGGTCTTCTGTTGTGGACAAGAATCCTCTTATGAACGGAAACAAACCTACCATTGAGTTAATGAACACATGCAGGTTGCAATTAGTTTTGGAAAGGAGTTTTCTTATGGTTTAAAATTATGATTTCGAAGCAACAAATTTGCTTAACTGAAATTCTGTTGTTTGGGTCAAATATTGGTTTTATAGATCATTCCAATTTAGTTAGAGGAAGGTCCTAATTCATCAAATATTAACAATTGTATCGGTTTCACGATAAACGTAAACTTTACTCAATATGTTTAGTTTCAGCTGTGAGTTCACTTAATAGCGAGTGAAAATTATTGTCTCTGACACAGTAGAGACCTTATTCGTCTTTTTGTTAACATGATATTCTAAACAATTTATGGAAGTTGTCATGAGCAAAATGATGCAGGTGTACAACAACCTCAATGAATGTCTAGTTCATTCAAATTGAGAAAATTATGAATTAAAATGCAAACCAAATTGATTATTCTAACCATAAAATTATTGGATTTGTTTGGATTATGTTGTTTCTACATCACCTACAAGTCAACAACTTAATGATAATTGAGGGCTGCCACTTTTTAATAGTACAATAAACCTAAAGACCATTGTAGGATATTCCATTGTCCTCAAACGGGCTGCTCAGTGCTTATTGGGTTCTTGAAAATTCCAATAAGGCTCAAAATAAAGTTTTATTTAGAGATCTTTGATGATTAATTTTTTTTAGTTATTAATTTATAATTTTAAAAAATTGAATTGATAATCAAATGGGCAAATTACGAGCAATTACATTTTTTTGAAAACTAAAAAACCAAAATCAAGTCACTATAATCGAAAACAAGTTATGATGCCGAAAGATATAATCTTGTTAATGTTTATTATTACGAGTAACGTTACATTTAACAACTTTCTTTCAGTATGATGTAGTCTGATATCCCAGCAAATTGAGGTTGGGGTGTGATATTCATACATCTCATTTTACTTCTCACACACCCTTCTAATTTTCAGCCTTCGGATCGAATGAATTGAAAAAGATCAATGAACATAAATTAAAAAGGGTGTGTGAGAAGTATGGACAACATCACTTGTGATCAAAGAAATTGAGATCCTTTCCGGATCTCTATGTTTAAATCGACAGACTCGGAGATTCGGACCACTCATTTTAAATTTTACGACCCTTATTAGCCACTCTACAGACCCACCTCACATAAATCAAGATTCTGAATCTCTCCTTTGAACGGTCAGATTTCCGAGTTCACTAGCTTTAGACACATAAATTCAAAGAGGATCCCAACAGAAAGGTCACAGTCACATGCATGACATGAATGGTGGTAACCACTTATTTGCCTTTAGATTGCTGCAAATCCGGATTTAAAAAATTGGTCTGATTTGCATTTTATTACTAGTTGTGTTGATTAATAATTGTGTGCCTATTTGTAAGGTGCATGAGTGTTGGGAGAGAAAATCCAACACAAGACATCAGTTGTAGCTACTGAATGCATGTTCTTAACCACTAAAGTATGAGCTCATTTTGCAGCCAACGTTCGACTCTCGTTCTTTTTAACCATGAATAGTTTGAAACTTTGTATCAAATGGGGAATTAAACTCCTTATGCATCATTGAAATGAAACATGCTATTTGCTCCTCAAGAGGCTATTTTCCCATCAATTTGATGGGCTATAAAAGTTCGATTGATGAAATTGAAATCTTGAGAGAGTGAAGAACTGGACCAGGAGGGAGGAGATTTTTCATAGGCTAGAGCCGAATGAGTTGGATATTGTTCAAGGCTGGAAGCCCAACCAATTCATATCATGTTCAGTTTTATGCCATTGCCAATCATATTTTCATATTCAAACCCTCTCAACTTTTACGTATGTCGTAAAAAAATTGACAGTGGGATATATGTACAAATTTTACATTTGGTATTTTAATGAATTATTTTATTTGTATGTGCCATCTTATAATATGCAAGAGAGAATGACTCTTATGTGTGAGGAGCCAAGCATCGAGCAATGTTCTTACATATAAAAGGAGAACATTTAAAATAGTGAATTTGATACTTAACTGTTATATGTTCGAGTTTTTATTAGAATATAATATCCTTACATATAAAAGGAGAACATTTTTAATTTCATTATGTAAAATAACAATGGCAATTTGACCAAATGGCTACTATTTGGTGTTTTAACAGCAAATGCATGAAACCTGCGTGCTTCCTCAAACACCAACATTGACCAGTTTCTCTTTCTTATTAAAAAAAATGAATGAATATGGTGTCAGTCAGACAAAGTCAAGCTTTCTAAACCTCTTTTATGGACAAAGATCCTCTCCAAATTTTACAATCCGAAGCCCAAACAATAGGTAATTTAGACCACTCAAATTGAATTCGATGGTACTAATTAACTCATTCCACTAACTTACCTTACACGAACTAAGGACTCCACGTCTCTTTCACTCAAATTGAGAAAGATGATTGGTATTTAGCAAATGGAGTAAACTTGAACTTGACAGTTGATGACCAAAATGACAACTGCTCCTCTTCTTTTAGCTGCAATTAAAGCCTAACAAGCTACCTAGCAAATGGTGCTGTCATGGAACCTGCTCCTGTGGAATAGAACATCTGGAATTCACACGAGGTGAACTATGTTACGGTGGAATCGTAACACGAGTTTCTTCGTTTGAGCATGGAGTTCTTTCTCGATGCCTAGACGTACACCTCCGTTTCCAAACATTGTGTTAGTTGGCACAGCACAAAACCCATTGTGGCTCTATGCTGGGAGGTGGAAGTTGTGCATGTCGTTGCTGTCTCTAATGCTTTCCAGACCAAATTCACATCGAACTCCCCTCAAATCCTTCGTACCAAGATAGTTGTTAAATCCCCGTTCTCGAACTCAGGATTCACCCACTCCACGATGTGGACAAGATCATTATTTTCTGTGATTGCAGGTTGGCCAGTAAAACTCTAAACTTCAAATTTTTCATTCACCATTCATAATTACAATTCCTGCAGACAAAAAAGAGAGTAATCATAAATCACTCACTACTCATAGATTTGTTTTATTTAAAATGATCAAAATTCTAAGAACACGAAATCTGAACATACTCAGGATCAAGATACCCCGCTGTGCACATGACTGATGCCACCACGAGTCTTACTATAACTGGGAAAAACCATCTTCCAAGTAGCCAGGGTATACAATCCCAAATCCTCCTTTCTCAATTTCAGTATCAAAGTTTTCGGTGATTTCTAAAACCTCATCATAAGTAAACTGGGACTTCATTGATGCTACAGGAGTTTTGTTATGTTTTTATCCATCTGCAGCTTAAGTAGACAAAAAGGTATGCGTTCAGACCAAATGGATAGAAATACCACCACGCCAAAGTAGCAGCGCCGGTTCTATCTAAGTATCAAGGGTATAAAATGGCACCTGGTTTTCTTGTTCTTCTCAGCTTTCATACCAGTATGAGCACTATAACTTGAAGGGGAGGGCAATCATTTATAGTAATGATCCTGGTATTGGAACAACAACGTTCTTCTTGCATTTGCTCGAATCTGAGCTAAAAAGAACTTATAAGCAGACAGAAAATATAAATCTGAAGGACGCAATACCATTCGCTTTCATTAAAGAAAATGCTAACCTATTCGGCACTCTCCATGAACGAAACTTGCACAAAGCAGTAGGACGAGGAAACCAGTTGAGATCTTCATCTCTCTGTCTCATTGCAGCCTATGAACTACCTGGTATTTATAACGCGTGACAATGTCAGGACATAAAAAACAGAAAAACGTATATGACACTGGATTTGTAACCTCATGCTGCACAACTTGCACAGTACATGCATGATCCTTCTTTCATGGAGATGCTTAGTCTACGTCAATCAATGGATCATTCAATGTTCATACTAAGACAGCAATATGGTCAAGCCAACGTATTTTCTAGTCAAAGCATTTCAAACATTGTTCCTGTTAGGGTTATGAACATGGGATGAATGAGAGAGTTTGTAGCTACCTTAGCATGGTGCTGTCATGGAACCTGCATTTGTGGAATCTGAACATCAGGAAATCACTCTAGGTGAACTATGGTATGGTGAAATAGTAACACAAGTTTCTTCATTCGAGCCAGTTTCTTCATTTAAGCCTTGAGTTCTTTCTGGATGCCTAGACACCTTCATTTCCAAACATTGTGTTAGTTGACATGACACAGCACAAAATCCATGCTGCAGACCGAAAAAAGTATTCATAAACCACTCACTGTTCATACATTTGTATTCATACCATGACAAAAAAATCTAATAGAACAAGGAAATTTGAAAATACTCTGGGTCCAGATAACCCTCTGTGCCCATGACTGATGTCACCACACGAGTCCCATTATCACTGGAAAAAACCATGGACATACTGAAATCTGCTATTTTCGCGTCCAAGTTCTTGTTGCACTGGGATTGCTCTCCTCTCTTAATGCAATTCTCTTACTGGATTCCCTTCTCAAGTGAGCTGAAATACTAATCAAATTTATCTGTGATTAAAATATTCTAGATAACTCGACATGATTTTATTCAAGGATGAAAGATTGAAGAATAAAGTTACATATTGACTAAACAGATTACCTTCCACAAAATTGGTCTCATAAAACTGTGTTAGTTGAGGGAACCTGCACAGAGTGAGAAGAAACACAGCCTTCTACAAAAGTGTATCTGCACCATAACAACCATGCGCAACAAGCCTTAGAACATATTCGAATGCACGTTGAATGTTGTAAGTTATACAGAATGGCCACAGACTTGTAAACACTTGCAATTTTACTTCTAATTACACGTAACAAGTAACAACCATAAAACTGTGTGAGTTGAGATTACCTTCCATAAAATTGGTCTGACAAAAGTGTATCTGCACCATAACAAGTAACAACCATGCGCAACATGCCTTAGAACATATTTGAACATTATAACATATACAGAATAACCGCAGACTCGTAAACAGTTGCAATTAAGAATTACAGTTTCGGGAATTACAGTGGGAAATCATGAATTACAAACCAAATGGAACTAAGACAAGAGAAGAGAACAAATCATGAATTACTGTTTTGGGAAAGAAACCTACACTTGACTGTCGGGCAGGTTGCTTGTTTTAATTTAGAAGGCAACAGTAAAATTTGGAATGGCTTCCCTACTGCCGAGTGCCGATAGATAGTTGAGATTCCCACAACGGTGAATAGATAGATGGTCGATTCATGAAAGGTTCCGTCATCACTCTCGTAAGAGCCTTTTGAATCATCAAGTGACAATCATATAATACTGCAGAAAACGAGAGTGAATGAAGAATTTAGAACAAAATATACATGGATAATTGATTGGAGATAAAAATAAGGGCTCCAAAAATATAAATTACCTCAGATCTGGAATGTGAGAAATCTTTGGCCATTCTGGGCCGCTGTCCTTGGCGCATCTTTCTGCCAGACGGGGACACCAGTGAATCTCTAGACGATGTAATTTGGTTAGGCGTTGCATAGCTTCGACCGTAGGCAGATACATCAGGTTCTCACAATTCAAAATTCCCAAATATGTTAGAGACGTGAGGTTGCCCAACCACTCTGGAAGAGCCTCCAGACCATCGAATCTCCAAATTGTCAACTCGGTTAGGGAAGCAGAGTGTTGAATATGCTGAGGCAGAGACTTGAGCTTAGGCCACCCGAACAATCCTAATACTTTCGATGGGACCTGAAAATCAGGGAAAGAATCGAGCTCTTGGCAGAAGGCACCGATACACAACTCTTCCAAACGAGATAGAGAGTGCAGCCCCTTGGGCAAATATTGTAATTTCCCACAACTATTTAATTCCAAACGAGATAGAGATTGCAAGCTGGACACATTGTGATCCGCCAGAGATATCAAATTGGAGCAATAAGTGACACGCAAACTGGTAAGAGATGTGCAGTATGCAAGCCCACTCGGCAGACTTATTAATCCACATATCCAAATATCCAAATGAGTGAGGGACGTGAGGTTGTCTAAACTGGGAATAGCCTCTAGATTAGGGCATAATTTGATACTCAGATCTTCAAGAGAGACGGGGGTTTGTAGCCCATGACCCGACAAAGTCCTCAAATTTGGACAATTTTCGATTAACACTTCGCGAAGATTAGTACAAGAATGGAGCCCACTAAGTATACTTGTGAATCCATTGCAATCTTTAATTCTCAATTTACGGAGGGATGTGCAACCGTTTAAAGACAAGTCCTCCACCTGCTGCTGTTGTTGTATATTTTCCGACTCCTCAAGAGACGTACATTTTTCAATAACCAATTTGCGGAGTGAGGGCAGACTGTGAATTGAAGTGCATCTTAGCTTTGGGCAACCAACTATTTTCAACTCCTGAAGAGATTGGGATGGTGAAATTTGGAAGGATTCTAAATGGTCGCAATCCTCAATTTCCACCGTCTCAAGTGATGGGCAATATTCTAACCCACAACACAAGCTCAACAATTTCTCACAGCTCCTAATTCTCAATTGACGAAGATTGGTTACTCGACAATTTCTCATCATCCAAGATGCAAATTTAGTACCCTTGAATTCCTCAATCGTCAAGCTTTCTAAGTTGGGGTGCGGTTGGAGCCCTTCAAGAATATCCTCGTCAAGATCCGCAGAATGGTCACACCCCCATTTTAATTTCAATTTTCGTATGTTTGCTTTCCTTACTAAATTTGATTTTGCTGCTTCTTCCTTGTCTCTCACATGTTCCAATGATCCAATAACTAGTTTCCCTTTCAATTCATTTAGCTCACCCAGCTCATCAAGTCTATGACGCCCATCCTCATCCAAAATAAAGGAAGGTAGCGTTTGCAGATGAGTCAATCTTGTCATCCCAAATGGAACTTCCTTATCCTTATCAAAATAAACATGTCTCAAGTTGATCAAATTTTCCATTTCCTTAGGAAACGTTTCAATGTCTGTATATGACATTCTTAACGTCTGAAGATTATAGAGCTTGCCAATAGATTTGGGGAGTTCTTTTATTCTTGTCAAGGAAATGTTGAGATACCTCAAGCGTTTCAACTTTCCAATTGAACTTGGCAACTCCTCAATTCCAGTCTTGGATAAATTCAACATTCGTAAACCTCTAAACCTTTCAAAGATGTTACTAGGGACCTCGCAATCAACAAATAGCGACTGCAATCTCCTAATACTCCCTTGTGTAATTCTTTCAAGTGTCGTGGAAGAAATATGTGCAACATGCTGAATCTTGCGTGCATCATCATCCATCTGATCAGTGTCTCGCGTCATGCTTTCAAATTTGAATACTTCCTCTGCAAGATCATGCACAAGATCATGCATCTTGCACTCCGTAATAATGCCGTACTTATCTTCACTAGCATCTTGAAATAAGGAGTTTTGCAATAGAGTATTAAAATATTCATTGCCTATGTCCTCCATACTCATGTTGGGAGAAAAATGGAGATATCCTTGAGCCATCCAGAGCTGGACCAAGTCATCCTGTTCAATTTCAAAATCTTTTTTGAAAATTGAACAATATGCAAAACATTGTTTCAAGGATGGAGACTTCAAATTATCAAAACTTAACTTCAAAACCAACATGATTTTATCCTCTGTTTTTGGTAATTGCCATATCTCACTTTCCAGAATCGATGACCATTCACTTGTACTATGTTTGGAACGCATCAGGCTTCCTAATACCTGTTAACACAAAAGTTAATAGTTTAAGTGAATCTCAACTTTGTTTTCACTCGATGAAAAGTCCAAGATTGCTCTCCAATATTTGTGTTAAAAGATGTACCTAAATATTTGTACAAAAATGTATGTTAATGTACCTAAATGTATGTATCGAAATATTATAATGAATTAAAAACAACTTAATGTACCTAAATAAAGAACACAAAGTATATCGATTATACTATTGAAAATAAAATTAGTAGACAAAACGTCTATATGAAAATATATTATGATGAATCAAATGAAAAATAGAATTAAATGCAAAACCATACGTGAACACATGGTATTATTATTATTGGAAGAAAAAGAGTAATAAAACCTTAAAATATAAATAATATATGAGGTAAATGCATTTTGACTTGGACATTGAGTAAGGGACTAGAATTAAATTATAATCTTACACAATGTATTAATATAAGAGTAATATTTTTCAAGGATTAGAATTAAGTTTAATAGAGTTCTTTAAATTTAAACACCAACAAATTTTGTTTTCCTGACATAAACCATACCACAAGAGTCCAAATTTGCTTATCACCCTTACTAGATGGTAAGCTTTATCACCCTTCTTGAGCATCTCTAATAGAAGTCCTTATTTAGGGACTCTAACACTATTTTTGAGTACTCATTTAAGGACTTAAAGTAATCTTTGTGTTTCTAAAGGAATATTGTCCCAGTGGAAGAGTTTTTATAGTAGATAGAATGTCTAACTTTGCAGTTTTTTTTTATGATTTTAAGTGATAATTTGATTAGGTGCACATTTTTTTTGTTAATATTTTTTTAATTAATTAAAAATAATAAAATCTTCAATCAAGATTGTGAGCACTGTTTTTCGTTCAATGTGCACATTTTTTTGTTTATGTTATCATTTTTTTATTAATTAAAAGTATCAAAATTAAAAGCATTAAAAGCTTCAATCAAATTGTGGACTCTTTTTTTCACTCAAAGTTGTCCCTATACAATTCCTATATGCAAGAACATACACTATGTATCCGTTGAGTCCCTATACTTTAAGGACTCACTTTCCGATCTATTGAAGATTCATTTTGTCCTTATACTTTACACTCATTTTATACGGTGGTTGTCCTTATTTAGAGATTCCACTAAATATAACATTCTACATGTTCGTGGCTTAACCATGATTAATTAGAACTCGCTAGTGCAATGTTGAAAGAGGAGAGAGAAGCCGACGTTTTGATGTGACATTGAGGTTCCTATTCCTACAACTTTTTGATGGAAAAAAGGAGACAGAAGGGTAGGGGAAAGTGAGAGAAATTTTTATGTGAAAACTACTAAAGAAAATTAATTACAAGCCGTAGGATATCATCTAACGGCCACGAACAAATTAGTCCGGAGGTGAAGGTTCCAAAGAGGACCCGAGCCCACGGACAGTGATCTCAAGATTTGACGGGAACAAATTTGGAAGGAATTGTAATTTACTTATTAAGTTATTATTTTATATGTATAAAAAATTAAACTAATTAATTATTGTTAAGCCATGATCATGTGACGTTTGCGAAAAAAGGTGATAACGCTCGCGGCTCACCACTTAATAGGGTGGTGCCACAACATTCTATAAACGTCTCTCTATCACACGCATATTATCAGCCTACCGTTATTCAATTTTGACTTGATAGCGCATTAAAATCTAGGGAACTTTAACGAAAAGCTCATGCTACTATTCATTATAGTGAAAAATCATGTTTTTACACTAAAAAGTCAATCCTGGTACTATTCATTTTACCCTTTATTTTGTCCTTATAGTTAAAACTCAAAGTTTTCAAGTCATTTTCATTAGTTTTCCTTAAAATCTATCTATTTAGTCTTCCTACTGTTTTGTTAGTTCTATCTATAAGTATAATTTTGTAAACATAATTAAAAACAATAGGTACATTTTTTTTCACAAAAAATTAAGGAATAGGTAGATTATATTCGTAAAAATAAAATTGGAGAAACAATATTTTCGTAAAAAAAAATTAAACAATAGGTAAATTATTTTCATAAAAAACAAAAAATAGGTTTTTTTTATAAAATATAAACAATAGATAAATTAATATCCATGTACAAGAAATAGTAGATACATCATCTTCATTAAATTAAAGGGTTAAGTCGTAGAACCACCTAATTTTTAGAGGTAATTCCAAATTGGTTTCAACTTTTTAAAACATTCCAAATAATTACCTAACGTTTTAAACGTTAGACATTAGAGTGTCAGTAACGACGTCCACAAATAAACTGAAGGGCATGCTTGGATAAAACGTGTAGCTTTGACGATTTAGAACTCCATAGATGATGTGATAGTAAAAATTCGAATATGCCCTTCAATTTATTTGTTGTTCCCATCGCTTAACACTGATAACTTTACAACATAGTGTCAGTGACCTAACAGATGTCTAATTTTCAAAACCTTAGGTATTTATTCAGAATATTTTAAAAAGTTAGGACCAATTTTAAATCGACCCTAAAGGTTAGGTAGATTTATGTACTTAACCCGAAATTAAATAGTAAGTAAATTATAGTTGAATATACAGTGTTTTGTGAAATTGAACAATAGGTAAATAATTTTTTAAGATATGAACAATAGGTAAATTAAAATTCATTAAACAAAAACTAGTAGATACATTATCTTCGTAAAGTTTAAACAATAGGTAAATTATTTTTTGTAACGTTCAAATAATAGTAATATTAAATTGTTTTTCGTAATTAAATTGTTTTTTTGTAAATTTATTTGCAAATGTGGAATTGAGCACATCTCTCAAGGAGTAAATTCAAGTATTATTCTTCTTTTTTTTATTGGTCATAGTCCGTTAACTCTTTTCTTTTCTAGTAAAATTAGTTTGTTAATCAGCGCATGCAGACCATCTGACCTCACCTATTACACCTAAGAATCCCACGCACGTCCCTCTATTTCTATGTTTATGTTATTAAAATAGAAAGCCAAATACAAAACAAGCAAGGGTGAATATAATAATATATAGATGCATACCTTTGCCACTAATGGTACGCCAACACACTTTGCAGCTATGGCCCTTCCAATGTCCACTTGTTTTGGATCTAAAGGAGGAGCACCATTTGGGAATGCTTCACTCTTTAATATGGACCAACAATCATCTACTGATAGGCTCGCCAAATCACACCTTGGCATTGTCTCTGTGATTGATGCAACCTTAGCACTACGGGTAGTAACAATGGCAACGCTTCCAGGAGCAGAATTGAGTCTCGACAAACAACTCGTAAAATCACTCCATAAGTTGTCATCTTCGTTCCAAACGTCATCGAGTATTAGAATATACCTCTTCCCTGTCAACCTTTGTTTGAGGTCATTCAGCAATGCTTCCCGACTTGTAACTCCTGTCCTGTTTGAGTTAAGGGATTCTAACATCCGATTTAGAATCGAATTAACCTCAAAAGTGTCGGATACACACACCCACATCTTTTCAACAAAATGTCTACCAATAGCATCGTCATTGAATATTGATCTTGCCAAAGTCGTCTTTCCGAGTCCTCCCATTCCCACAATGGCCTTAACTGAAAGGTACTCTTCCTGATTCTTGGACTCGATCAAGGTTGCAATGATATCCGACACAATCTTCTCCCTTCCAATGATCTTCTCATCGTGACCGAAGCTTGAGACAGTTTCTCTGTTCCCCATACCTGGAGGGGTTTGATCTACTCTCCTTGCAACTAAGCCGATGAAAGCTGCATCCCCTTTGAGAGCCGCCAGTGACGCATTGATGTTCTTAATCTTGTGGGCCATCTTTTGACGAAATAAAATGGGGTTGGAGAGCGAAAAGAAGTTAAGTACCTTCTTCTTCATGTGGTTTTGAATTTCTACTTTACGCCTGAGAACTTCGTAGTTGATGTCCTCCAATACATCATCAGCATCATGAGCTACGTCTTTCAGTTTCTTCACCCAGTCCTCCACCGCCTTGCCCCTGTTCCGTGGTTGGTACGAAACATCGCCTAAGAACCCTTGAATTGCAAGTACCGATTGACGAAGCTTAGCTAGCTCTTTTTTGAATCCTCGGAAAAGACTGATTTCTTGAGCAGCAAGTGAAGTGACCGAATTTAGTATTCCCTCCACCGGAAAAGTATAGAGAGTTTCTAACACCTTTGCAGAATCCATACTCGCGCGAGGGACGACGGAGATCAGAGGAGAGCAGAGAATAGAGAAATAGCTGAAGGACACAAGAAGGGTGGAGGTGTAGAGTGTTGGAAGCTGATGAATGAAAGGTCTTGACAAATGAAATGACAATGTATATAGTTCATGAAACAGTGAATAATAAGACAGGACAAAAGATCCATTACCATTACTTGTTCTTTCTGCGAAGGGAGATGCTGATGCTTTGCTTCCCCTTACAATTAATTGCACTTCACATAAGCATAAAGCTGCTTCCATCAACCAAGATGCAATGCTCACAGCCCCGCCAAGGTACAATACTTTGCCCAAGCATAAAGCTTAAAGCCATTCCATACACCCATTTAAAAATCGGAAGATTCTATTTTACTCCTTGAAAAACATTACGTTTTGAATAAAACCTTTTCCTTTTTTCTTTTTCTTTTTTAAACGTGAGATTTGTTAGATTAGATGTTAGATTAGGAAGTCGATAGTATTCGAACCCAAGCCGTGATGCAAGAGTAACACTCATTATCTTAGTAAAACTAATTTTAGTCCTTGGCATTTAATTATTGTTTTCGGATATTAATTAGGTTCTAATAGTTAGAACTTAGATGTCCATATGAAGTATTTAATCGTTGGTTTGTGGAAATACCATCACCATGGAAAAATAATTGCTTTAACTTTTTGATATAGGAAAATAAAAACACTAAATAGAGTAACCACGGTTAGTGGTCACATCTAGTTTTAATACAGTCGAACATGAAACCTTTTCTTCCCACAGATGGCAGAGTCCTATCCTAAACATGAAAATTATTAAAATTAAACCTTGTGCTAGTGACTGCATCCGCCGAGAAATTCGCCTTCCTTTAGATCCATGAAATGGTATCAAATGTAATCACCAACCACTTGATTAAACACGGAAATTCGCCATTTGCATTAAGGTCCCGCAAAAGGTATCATCAACTTCATTCTGGGGCAAAGGGATACTACAATGGGGGGCGCAACTATTATATATGAATATTTAACAAAATAAATCAATATGTTTAATCACACATGTTCTAAATTAATTGCCAATAACGATTGACAAAGCTTGGGCTAGTTTTCTTTTGAATCCCCTGAAGATACGATTTCTTGATAGTAGGAAGCGAAACCACCTTCTTTAGTGCCCCCTACATTAATAAAGCAAGGCTTTAGAACTCGATTTTGTTTCGCCACTTTGTCTTTTGAAATTCAAAATTAAAGTCACCATTTTATTCCCTGGAATTCGAATTTGATCACACTTTGCTCACTGAAACTCAAAACTCGCTACTTTACTCATTGAAACTCAAAATTCACTGTACATTGCCTTATTTATATTTTTTAGAATAAGTTTATCCATTTAAAATTTGTTTTCTATTAAGTGTAAAAGAATTAAGTACAACAATAATCTACAACGAACAACACTCATAAATTTCGACAAAGTTTAATTTCCAGCCATAAATCTTGCTCTGAATTTTCTTGCTGCAGAAGCTTTATCACTAACTGCAGATAACTTTACCAATAATCCCCACAGGAGCACTCCCTCCCCATCCCTGAAATGATGGAACCGCTTGTTATCCCTAACGATCAGCTCCCTCCCAACAATCTTCGACATGGCGTTATGACAATCACCGCAGATTTGAAGATTCTTTATAATCCTTAGAGTTTGCCTGGCTGGAGTACTGATCAGACCATAAGCAATTGCCAAACGCTCGCTATGATACTGCAAGGCCCGCTCTTTTGCCTCCTGATCGATGTCATGCAGCACGTATCTTGTATCAGGCACATAGCCCGCTTCCCTCATCTGTCCTTTCAAACCTTGCAATTTCTCATACTCCTCATTTGTACTCCGATACTCACTCACCTTATTTTTCTCCTCTAGCATGTTAATCTCTGAGTGCTTCTTCCGCGGAGGCAATGGGATTTTGTCCGCATTGGCTTAGAAGGGTCGATACTAACCAACAAATCCTCCGCGCGATCTTCAAGCTCAATATCTCTGTGAATTTGCGCAAAGTTTCTAAGAGCCTCCCAAGCTTCCACATTAGGCTCAAATGGCATTTTCTCAATGAACTCCTCTACTTCGTTCAAATGACCAGACTTCCCAAGGACATCAATAAGTCCTAAATAATGCTGAATTTCTGGCACAATCTCATACTCATTCGTCATCGATTCGAAGAGCGCATAGCCTTCGTCTACAGCTTCCGCACTAGCATACGCCGCCAACACTACCAAAAAAGTCTCCTTATCAGGCTTCAATCCTGAATTCCTCATTTGTTCAAACAACAACAGCCCCTCATCACGCTGCCCATTCACTGCATACCCACTGATCATCGAATGCCACAAACCCATGCTCCGCTCGCACATTCTATCAAACAGCTTGCGTGCATCTCTCATACTCCCACACCTCCAATACATTTGTACCAATCTAGTGTTCAACTCAATATCCCCGCGAAACGGAGACTGTCTTAAGAACTCATGGACCTTCCTCCCAACCTCAAGCGACTTCAATCCATCACACGATTCCAATAACACGCAAAAAACTCCGTAATCGGCAGAAACACCTCGACCCATAAACTCCAACGCCTCTCCGACCTTACCCTCTTCGCACAGACGCATCAAATCCACATCCTTCGTGTTCGTACGTAATGGGGTGCTCACATTTTGGGATTGAGAAAGAGCTGGTCGTGCGGGTTCAGTTTGACCCGGGATTTGAACCGGGAAGAGATGATGGAGTTCCCCGTCAGCTGGAGAAAAATTAGAGAAGCCATTGTTGTGGTTAAACTGGTTCGACAAGTGAAAAGCGAAGAGAAGAAAGATGTGGAAATGATGGGGGTAATTGAGTCATTTTGCCATTGTGGGCTTTACCCACTCATTTGTTTCCATTTACTTCACATTAGTTTCTTACTCAACAAGGTTTTCTCTTATTGAAAAGAAAAAAAAGGTTTTCTGCGGGACAAATCTTACAGGACAATTGCGGAATATGAGTGACCGGTTGATTTGTTGTTTAATCTTATCTTTAAAATTCACTTAAATCATATTATTATTTTGTTCAACGAGATCTTTAAGGTAAGACAAATCTTGTTAAATAGTTGCGGAATATGAATAGTAAATAGACCACCAACCAATCAATTCTAATATCTCACAAAATTTGTTCGTGGAGAATTTATGCTTCTTTTAACTCACTGTTATTTCATATACTTAATAGCATTGTAATGTGCTATCTACACATTTATTTTGACTTTTCACGCATTTCTCAATTTTCGGTCCATGAATCGAAAAGAATAATATTTTCCTTTTTAATTTAAAAAAGATCACAAAACAAAGGATTATTGCATTGTTAAAACATTAGAGGCAGGGAAATAACTAACATAACTAGTTCAGCTGCCACTTAATGAGAAATAACTGTCAAAACGAACAAGAAACTAACTTCTAATTTTCTATATAATATAGTCGGAACTCCGACATAAACGAGGTGTGATCCATGGACTGGCCAGGCACATCCTCGTGCATCGACGGCCGTTCCTTCCCACCAACCAACCTCGCCGGATTTCCCATCGCCGTGGTCCATGGAGGAACATCAATCAGCACAAGCGACCCCAATCATTGCGCCCTCCCAAATCTTCACATTCCCCAAAATCGTCGCGCTTGCACCGATCAAAACCCCATCGCCGATCTTCGGGTGCCGGTCTCCGCCGGCTTTCCCGGTGCCACCAAGCGTCACGTGGTGGAGTATCGACACATTGTTCCCGATCACCGCCGTCTCCCCCACCACCACCCCTGTCGCGTGGTCGAACAGCACCCCTTTCCGATCCTCGCCGCTAGGTGTATGTCCACCGCGAACACGTCCGCGATCCTCGAGTGCAGTGCAAGCGCCAGCGGCCTCCGGTTCTAGATCCATAGCTTGTGCGCCACTCGATGCGCCTATAAATCAAACAAATTCGTTAAAAATTTATTGCATTTTCTCGCAATCCAAACAGGAAATTAACTACATAACTCGGTGCGCGCCTGAAAAATCAAATCAATTCGTGCAATTTTCTTACACTTTCTCGGAATCCAAACAAAAACTATCTGATCGGATGATGCGCACCTAAAAGGGCAAATCAATGCGTTCATTTTTTCTGACATTTTCTCGGAACCAAATAGGAAATTAACAAAGATCAAAATAAGAAGTTATATCATAGAATTTTCGGAATCACAGAACAGATTTTGAGTTCAATATAAATGACATGTAACACAACAAGCTGTTTACAACAATATTATTGTTTTTTTTTTTGGCCAATACAACATTGAATTAAAGGGCATGCACCAATAGATAAAGCTGCAACATTATTTCCTAGGCATAAATAGCAAGCAACAACAAATTGAAACCTGCATTCTCCACTTTATATAATTAATTTAAGGAAGATAAAACAACCACTGTAGCAAGGTTCTAAACACGCTAGGCGCTAATCGGAAGCGGGCTGGGGCCTAGCGCCTAGGCGAACCAGACGGATTGTGAAGTCCCCAAGTTTAGGGTTTCTAAATTCTTCTCCCTTTATGCTGATAACACATTTTCCGCCCTTGAATAGGATGCCTTCGACAAGATGATCCATCAGCCAAGATGAATATGCAAGACTCTACTGGATCATAGTTGCTAATAAAGCCGCACTGTGAGTCGACATTGCTGTTTGATATCCCAACTCCGGTTGACCCCTTAATCCTCATCCCTTTGTGTTCAGCACACCTCTGTCTTCCGGGAACTGGTGTTGTTCTGCAAACAGAACCATCTCCTACATCCACCCCACAAATTATACCAGTATTCTCCTCAGTAATGCTTCTATATGAAACCAACCTAGGCTGTGCTCTGCTGAGCTTGAAGACCTGAAAAGGGGAGTTGTCGATATCCTTGTCATCATAAGCACCGAATTTGTCACCCGTTGAAATTGGTTTGCTTGACTCAATTCTGATGCCCACTTTCTTCTGACTGGAAGTTATCTCCTTGAGTTTTTGATGGACATCATCAGGGCGCCTTGCTCCATTATTGTTTCTATTCCATGCATAATTATATGTACCAAGCCGCCGATTTTCTGTTTTCAGTGCGTCGCTTTGGTTTTCCAACTGTTTGACAATCAACAAAGAAACAATAAGGCCCATCATAATATCCCATTTCTTCAACTCGTAAGAATGACAGTGGTAACTTAGCAAATGCATGATATCTCAAGGTTTCAGACAAGCGCACTCGCAGCCTACTACTAACTGGTCTAACATCGACGTTATCCCTAGCTTGTATTTAACTATCTGGTCTTGCTAGTGTGGTATTTTATTGCAAAAGGCATCAGCGTTGCTAGTAGTGGAACCACTCACTTACATACTGTATTTCACGTTGTCAAGTTTCCGACATGAGATTTTACACTCTCAACATTCTACCATCAATGCCGATCTTTCCAAGAAAACCCAAGTCATTTCGAACTTTAAAGAAAACAAGATTGAGATATACTCACAGAAGCCCATCTATACGCAATGGAGTTGCCTCTTGACAGTAAGTCCTCAAACTCCTTGCCCAAATGAGCACCTGAACGACCGTATTGCTGAAGTCGAGTCCTCACATTATCAGCTTGTCCAAGGTACACCGGGACTATGCAGCCTGGGTCATGCTTCCCAATCTCATGGCCTTGGCTGCTACAACCGGAAACCCCGAGTTCATAGACACCGGGACTCTCCTTTTCGGGAAGGTTATGAACTCTGTATCTTTCAGCTCCTTCTTTGCCCAGCGAATGGTCTTTCCAATCAGAAGGGCCAACTAGTATCTAAATTCACAATAACAAATACAGAACGAAAAAAAAAAAAAGACAGATTTTAAATACCAAATAAAATTGGATTCTGGAATTCGGGTAATCAGAGAAACATAATTTAAGGTAAAGATTTGGGATTAAATTTGTTGTGGTCTATTTTATCTGACAGAGGGACTAGGGCCGGCGGCAGAGAGAGAGAGGAGAGAGATGTGTGTTTGTAGAATTGTAGGGGAATGTGTGTGTTGTTATCCCTCCTACATTGTGCCTTTATTTATAGTAGTAAAGGGAGAGAAGATATTCCTTCTCGTCCAAGTAATACAAGTTGTAATAGGAAAGGATAACTAGAATCAAATCTTATCTAGGATTTACACAATCATACTTAAACTAGGAATGTTTACAACACTCCCCCTTGAGTGGGTAAATACTCAAGGTAGATTCAGCATCATGCAGAAGTTGAGGAAGTCGACTCGTTGGCATTGATTCCAAGGAACAACGCTTATTCTCAATAAGGTAGGAACTTGCATAAGTAGTAAGTCTCACTAAAAAACCCTAAGGCTATGGCAAAAACCCAAGTAGGGATAAAATCCATAGTCTAAGGAAAAATGCGTGAGAAATGCAAAGTCAAAAAGAAACGTCTACAGGACGTCATCAGGGATATGACCAGCCCAAGGTGGGGTGCCTCGTTAAAACCTAGTTAGGTAGCAAAAAACCCAGTGGGAAAAATGCTCCTAATCGTAGGGAAAAAGAGTACATTAAGATCAAGCAAGTATCTAGAAGATACTCCCCCCTGAGTTTGACATAATTCCACAGAGAAATAGCAAAGTTACAACTCAGAAAGTTTACGCATACCAATTCCATGAACAAAGCTTCTGAAACGTCGCCTTCGGTAGTGATTTGGTGAAGAGGTCGGCCAGATTGTCTTGTGATCGGATTTGCGTGACTTCAATCTTCTGATGCTCTTGTTGTTGATGTGTAAAGAAGAACTTCGGCGCAATATGCTTGGTGTTGTCTCCTTTGATGTAACCCTTCTTGAGCTGTTCGATGCAAGCTACGTTGTCTTCAAAAATCGTCGTCGGGGCATTAACGGCGGGATGAAGATCACAGGAGCTTCGAATATGGCCCACTACTGCTCTCAACCAAAAGCATTCCCGAGTTGCTTCATGTAAGGCGAGAATTTCAGCATCGTTAGACGAAGTGGCAACTAAGGTCTGTTTAGTTGACCTCCAAGATATTGTGGTGCCTCCAACGGTAAAGACATAACCCGTTTGAGAACGCGCCTTGTGCGGATCAGATAAGTATCCAGCGTCGGCATAACCAACAAGGCGAGAATCAACCCGATGAGCATAGGGTGCGGCATCACTCGAGGATTCGTAGGGATAGAATAAGCCCAAATCCGTAGTACCCTTAAGGTAACGGAAGATGTCTTTCACGCCAGTCCAATGTCTGCGTGTTGGTGCATTGCTGTATCTTGCCAAAAGATTAACAGCGAAGGAGATGTCGGGTCTAGTGCATTGAGCTAAGTACAATAAAGCGCCTATCGCACTTAGATAAGGAACTTCAGGCTCCAAAATCTCTTCATCATCCTCCTTCGGACGGAAGGGATCTCGCTTTGCATCTAGCGTACGAACGACCATAGGAGTACTCGAAGGCTTCGCTTTATCCTCATTAAAACGGCGCAACACCTTCTGGGTGTAGTTCGATTGATGTACTAGGATTCCATCCGAACAATGCTCTATCTCGAGACCAAGACAGTATCGAGTCTTACCTAGATCTTTCATCTCAAATTCCGACTTCAGATGCGAAGCAGTTCTCGTGAGCTCTTCAGGAGTTCCGATGAGATTCATGTCATCGACATATACTGCAACAATCGCAAATCCGGAATGTGACTTCTTAATTAACACACAAGGGCATAGTTCGTTATTCACATATCCCTGACTAGTCAAATACTCACTTAAACGGTTATACCACATTCTTCGGATTGTTTCAAACCGTATAGTGAAAGCCTCAGCCGAATTGAGAGCGTGTTCCGGGGTTTGGAAATATTTGAACCAGTCAATGTAAGTCCTTCGGGAACTTTCATATAAATTTCCGTATCAAGATCCCCATAGAGATACGCGGTTACTACGTCCATCAGCTGCATATCCAGTTTTTCGGAAACTACCAAACTGATAAGGTATCGAAAAGTAATCACATCCATAACGGGTGAGTAAGTTTCGTCATAGTCAATCCCGGGGCGTTTGTGAGAAACCTTGTGCTACAAGACGAGCTTTGTAACGCACAATTTCGTTCTTCTCATTACGCTTCCGAACGAAAACCCACTTGTAGCCAACGGGCTTCACATGTGAAGGAGTAGGAACTACAGGTCCAAACACCTTACGTTTCGCAAGTGAATCAAGTTCGACTTGGATTGCTTGTTTCCAGTTTGACCAATCAGCTCTACGTCGACATTCATCAACGGAACGCGGTTCAATGTCATCGCTCAACATGATCTCAGTAGCTACTGCAAATGCTAATGCATCGTCGACAATCATCTCATTTCTACGCCACACATCATCTAAGCTAGCATAATAGACCGAAATCTCACGATTCTCAGGAGGAGGATTCGTCTCTTCAAGGACGCTTCCATAATCTAGAATTTCCTCATGAGTTGGGTAAAATGAGTAAGCGATAGTCGGATTCACGGTAGGCTCTTCAGGACCTTGTGCCGTGGTTTTCCCTCTTCCGGGGGTGTGAATCCTTTGAACCAAGGGGTCTGCCACGCTTTTTGTGTAGGGGCAGATGATTGGCTAGCCGCTAATGTACGTGGATCACCAGAATTGGCGTCCCGGGCTTCCAGGAGGGTAGTCCGTCGTACATTTGGTACATCCATCTTTGCAGGCGTATTCGCAGCTGGAATATGTGATCTTGTCACGCGCGCTAAATCGGTGAAAGCATCTGGCATGCTCTGAGCTATGCTCTGGAGATCTAATATGCGCTGCACTTCAGCTTCAGACTGAGCGGTGCGGGGATCTAAATGAGACAAAGTGGGAGTCGTCCACGATAATCGCGTCATTCATTAGGAACGTTGACGTTCTTATCTCCCCCTAACGACGGGAAGACTGTCTCATAGAAAGTGACAATCCGCGCGAAACGAGCGGTAAACATATCGCCTGTCAAAGGTTCTAAGTAACGAATAATCGAAGGAGAATCATATCCGACATAGATTCCCATCCTTCGCTGAGGCCCCATTTTTGTACGTAAGGGCGGCGAGATCGGCACATAGACCGCACAACCACAAACGCGCAGATGCGATATGTCGGGTTCGCATCCGGTGACCAACTGAAGGGCACTAAATGGTTGTGTCGCAATAGGCCTCAGGCGGACCAACTTTGCTGCGTGCAATATTGCATGGCCCCAAGCAGCGATCGGGAGCTTGGTACGTATGACCAACGATCGAGCAATCATTTGTAAACGCTTAATGAAAGCCTCTGCCAGGCCGTTCTGGGTGCGAACATGGGGTACAGGATGTTCAACTTCAACCCCAACCGACATGCAATAGTCATCAAAAGTTTTAGATGTGAATCTCTCCAGCATTACTCTAATCGAATAGATTTGATCGGATAATCAGGGGGTGGTGAGCCCTGAGCTTGATAACCTGAGCCAACAGTTTGGAGAATGCAGCGTTCCTTGTGGACAACAAGCACACGTGTGACCCAACGTGTAGAAGCGTCAACCAAAACCATAAAATATCTAAAATGGTCCGCAGGGAGGTTGAATCGGTCCACAAATGTCCCCCTGAATCCGTTTGTAGAAAAATGGGAGGATTCGAACGAATCTTGTCATAAGAAGGCTTAGTAATAAGCTTTCCCATAGAACATGTTTGACATGCAATTTCATGGATCGAACCTAAGCTTCGGGTTAGTGGATGCCCGTGTGAAGTTTTGAGGATACGGCGCATCGCTATTCGTCCAGGATGTCCCAAACGATCATGCCAAAGTGTAATTTCGTGCGCGGTCCCTGTGGTAGGGCCGGCCACATAGTGGCATTCGATGGGGCGTATGGTCGTAGTATACAGACCACTCGGGTTACGCTCCATCTTCTCTAGAATACGCTTCTGGCCATATTCGTAGGAAGTTACGCACAGAAATTCAACTCCGTTTTCTACGTGGGTTTCAGCGTGGTAATTGTTATCTCTAATGTCCTTGAAACTTAGTAACGTTCTTCCGGAACGTGGAGAATAGAGTGCCTCAGCAATGGTCAAGATTGTACCATTGGACAACATTATACGTGCCTTACCGTATCCTTCGATCAGGTTGGATGGGCCTGAGAGGGTTGTCAGAGGTGCATTCTTAGGTACAAAGTTAGTGAAATAGATGCGTTCACACAAAACAGTATGCGTGGTTGCACTATCTGCCAGACAACTAACTTTCCCACTAGTCATACCTAGAATGAAAAATTAATTTGAATCGGTCACATGCATAAAAGTTTATAAAAACAAGTATCAATTCAAAATAATTTCATTTATTCAAGGATTAAAAACTTAATATCCAAAATAAATCGCCAACTAATAATCCAAAACATAAAGGAAAATTGTTCAAAATCAACCAAAAACAAGGTGGGGTTCGGCCACTAGGTGGAATTCGGCCCCAATTGTATTATTTCAACTGAAAAATAAGTCTATGTCTAAGATTCTAATCTTCCATAGGAGTGGTATCCTCCTGAAAGTCAGAAACCTCCATCTTTGTAGTCTCCGATTCGTCCACTTGCAGGAAGTTTGATTCAAACTTCGTACGACGAGAATGATATGCATCCACAACCTTCTTGGGAGCACGGCAAATACGGGACCAATGGTCCTTGGAACCACAACGATAGCACATATCGTCATTCATTGTGGCAGGTGCTTTGCCCTTATTCTTGAAGTTCGGGGCCTTGGGAGCGAGGTTTGGGCGCTTCTGGGCTTTGTTTCCTCCCTTGGATGGGGCCTTGGCTCTGTTGACCTTGGTGGGATGGCTTCTGGCCGCCCTTACCACGCCTCTTTTGGCGTTTTGGGTGCTGATTAGTGCTATAATGTGCTTCAGGCACAGCAGTAGCCCCAGTAGGTCGAGCTTGATGATTCTTCATCAACAGCTGGTTCTGCTTTTTCAGCAAGAAGTAAAACAGAGATCAAATCCGAGAACTTAGTAAACTTCTGAGCTCTATATTGTTGCTGCAGGACAATATTAGAAGCAGAGAAGGTCGAGTAGGTCTTCTCCAGGAGATCCTCTTCAGTCAAAGTTTCATTGCAAAACTTGAGAAGTGATCGGATTCGACAAACTTCAGAATTATATTCATTCACAGACTTAAAGTCTTGGAAGCGCAAGTGCTGCCAGTCGTGTCTTGCTTCAGGCAAGAATATGTCATTTTGGTGATCGAAACGATCAGCCAAAGCGACCCATAATGCACGTGGATCCTCCTCAGCAAGGTACTCAGTTTGTAGAGCGTCATGGATATGTCTTCGGATGAAGATCATAGCAGTGGCTTTTTCAGCTTCGCCAACAGGTTTATATGTTGCTTCTTCAATAGCAGGACGCAAGTTCTTTGCAGTGAGGTGGAGCTTCACATCTTGAACCTACTTGAGGTAGTTCCTTCCAGAAACCTCCAAAGCGGTGAAGTCGAGTTTGTTCAAATTCGACATGGTCCTATCAAAATAGATGGACAAGATGTGGTTAGTGTAATGGAGAAAAATCAATCCATTCACATAGGAGTAGAACATACAGGTTCTAACAGACATGTATTGGTTTAATTTTGCATGAAAAACTTCGGGTTTTCAAATGGGTGATATATTTAAGTGAAAACTTCGGGTTTTCTAACAAGGCATGTGTATAAGAAACTTCGGGTTTCAAAGTAATTATGAACTTCAGGTTCATATATTCCTGCATGCAAACACAAATATATATGCAAACAAATATGCAAAGAATATATGCAGAAATATTGTATAATGATAAGTGAATTAATTTATTTTTGGTCTTCAGGGCCAAATTAAAGTGTGGGTGAAAATATAAAAACCCATATTATTTAAAAAAATTAAATAATAAAATCTCGGGGCCTAAAAATATAGGCCAAGAACCCTCGGGTGGGATTACAGGCCCACGGGGTGAAGAGAGGGGAATGGGCTGCTGTGTGCAGCCCTAAAATTTTTTTTTTTTTTTCTCGTTTTTTTTTTTTTTTTTTTTTGTATTCAATTATATTATATGCATGTATAATTTTAATGAATCACATATTTACGTTGATGCATATGCAAATAATAGTTTCAATGCATGTACATATGTAGGATTCAATTCATGACAAATATCAAATTCACATAATTGTAGCAATTTTGATTATGAAGCATACACAATTTATGTAGAATCTAAAATACGTAAAACGTAAAGTTGGGTCATGCATCATGGTGAATGTTCATGCTATCAGGGCTTGCAAAAATATCGAGTTAAAAGCCGTTGTTTTGGAAAGAACCTGATTGCGTGATGATATGGATGAACTGATTTGATGCAGAAAAAAAAAATCTCCAACGTCAGATTCCTAAGCGCAGCGGTAGGAGCGTGCTGATAACGTGTTGTGGTCTATTTTATCTGACAGAGGGACTAGGGCCGGCGGCAGAGAGAGAGAGGAGAGAGATGTGTGTTTGTAGAATTGTAGGGGAATGTGTGTGTTGTTATCCCTCCTACATTGTGCCTTTATTTATAGTAGTAAAGGGAGAGAAGATATTCCTTCTCCTCCAAGTAATACAAGTTGTAATAGGAAAGGATAACTAGAATCAAATCTTATCTAGGATTTACACAATCATACTTAAACTAGGAATGTTTACAACAAAATTCAAATTATCCTAAAATTCCAGATTAAAGTCAACAAACCCAGATTGTAAATACCATGTAAAATTAGATTATGGAATCTGGGTAATCAGAGAAACAAGATTTAAGGCAAGGATTTGGAGTAAATTTGAAATTTTCCAACCGAACAGTGATTGAAATCAGTAGAGAAATCTCCAAAGATTTCAAATTTATCCTCAAATTCTAGGATTAAATTAAAAAAAATAAAAACTTTAATTCCATAAGAAACGCAGAGACATTTCACCTTCCAAGGGGAGAAGCGAGAGTCGTTTGTGGTGCGCTCGCAATCTTCCCTCTTCAACCTTGACGCGGCAACGGTCGAATTGCCGGCTTCCATTTGAGGCTCTGTCTGCCCTTTTCAAAAAGGAGACCACCGTTAATCGCGCCCTTTAGAGCTACTCCAGTGGAGTCCTAAATGGATTCCTTACCATCCTCTATCACCGTATGTCTTTAAATTTAAGGATTTTCTGGCTTTGAGTGGGGATGGAGGCCCACCCACATGAAGGGTTGTGGGTAGGGATGGTCAAATACCCATTGGTTTGGGTAACCGCGGTTACTCGCTCATTTAAATTAAACGGTTACGGTTATGGGTAACCGTTTAGATAAATAAACGGTTATGGGTATAACCGTTTACCCGCGAAATTTAAATGGGCGGTTATGAGTATTAACCACAGTTATAAACGGATAACCGTTTACCTATTTATTTTATATATGTAAAACTAACACAAACCATGTTCTTGATCCAATAATACTTAGCACCCAATAAATTAGCAAGGGATTCATCGGTCATTCTCTCAATAACACTACTACAAGAATGATGATTCTCACATCAAGGAATTGCCCAAATTAATTTAAATTCTTTACGGGTAATCGTGAAATTGAAAGAAATGCTTTGACAGAAATGTCTTCTAAACAATTTTTGTAACCCAATAATACTTAGCAAATATTATATTTACCTTTGTTTGTACCATACTTGACCAATCCCGAAACTACTGAGCACCGGTCAACGTTACCGTCAAAGAACCAGAAGAGTTTCCCTCCAACCAGGAGGCCAATCACAGCGCGATACGTGTCGATATCAGAAGTCAATCATAACGCGACACGTGTCAACATCAGAAGTCAATCACAACACGACACGTGTCAATGTCAGAATGAAACTAGACACTCTCTTCTATAAATAGAGATCATTCTCTCACAATATTTCCTAACGTCATTTGTACTAAATCATTCACTATTACTCACTAAAGGAGAGCTTGAACCTATGTACTTGTGTAAACCCTTCACAATTAATGAGAACTCCTCTACTCCATAGACGTAGCCAATCTGGGTGAACCACGTACATCTTGTGTTTACTTCCCTGTCCCTATCCATTTACATACTTATCCACACTAGTGACCGGAGCAATCTAGCGAAGGTCACAAACGTAACACTTTCTGTTGTACCAAAGTCTTCGCTGATTTTGTGCATCAACAACCTTCATTGGTAATAGTTAAAAATATCGTCCGTAAACTATTATTTCAATTATTGGAATGGTATAAGGACTTAAAAAATTAAAATATGGAAATGTATGATGAATGTACCTATAACGGTGTTTAATTGTAAAAAAAAAAAGTTATGACAATTTTTTTTTTAATTTTCAAGTTGTTAAAAAACATGTAGACGGGTGAAAAAATGGTAATGGTAAAAAAAAGAAAAGATAAACGGGTTAAAAATGATAAATGGGTAAACGGGTATTAAACGGTTACGGTTAAATGAGTATGCGGTTATGGGTATGGTTAACCGTTTATAAACGGTTATGGGTATGTGTATAATCGTTTAAGCAATTACCCAACGGGTAAACGGTTATGCAGGTATGAGTATAAACGGTTATGAGTAAATTAACTACGATTACCCAGCTGTCATAACCATTGTCCATACCTAGTTGCGTGCTTCTTCCAAATATTCGGTTTGAGTGGGAAGAGGATCCTCTCCTAAACCCACATGAAAGGTTGCAGCTCATCCACTTGTTCCAGCAGCGCGGGTGAATAGACAGCTGCTGACGTAGTTACAGGCTGTGTCCTACATACTTTTTTTTTGGATTATAACTGTTCAGATTTAATTTAAATATTTTTATTATATAGTCTTCAAATTTAGTGTTTATGCTATAAGGATTTTTTTTATTGAAGATAATATTCTTTTAAGGATTCAAAATACAATAGTAAAATACTAAAAAACCCTTAATTCAAAAAATATTTAGAGAGTAAAGAATCTAGCACAACATGGGTAAATTAGTCAAACTAAACAAAAAATCAATCCTTCAATTTTACCACTCTATGTTGTGAAAGATTTTTTAGTGTGTCTGAAACATGACTCACTGAAAAATTTCTCTTATTTCGTAGACTAAGAAATAATTTTGAACCTCTTATCTGCATTCTAATTTGAATATAGTTTTTGTACACATTTAAAAGAAAGAGTGTAAGATGAAAGATTAGCGTGAAAATCATAAGGTCAAACACTTTGACATGGTAAAATACCTTGCTTGGAGCCCCAAATTCAACTTAAACTAGTGGTTAGCAAAGGAATAGGAATATGATTCTGATCAATGAGAGCATCTTTATAAATTAATCATGCATGATGGAGATAAGATCTGACAGCAAAAACTTTTGCATATCATCATGCACTAGCTTTGTTGAACTAAGTTATTGTGAAATTTAATGCATCGTCTTCATTCACCAATCATGAAGCTGAAGTTTTGGCCTGGATTAATAAGGTTGTCTTGAAAGATAATTCACAAGCGTATTTGAGTTTAGTTAAGTTGGTTAAATTTATATGCATGTGTGCTTCACTTATCGTACTCAAATTTGAACTTCTTTTTCTATAATTTAGATAAATTTAATGTAATTATAGTATATGTTTTGTTGTAATCTCATAACATATGTATATCTCAAGATCAAAGTTGCAACCATGCGTGCATGTATGTTTGTTGCTTCCTCGATATCGTGTTCTTCAGTATGTCTTTCGTCATGGCCAACTTTATCAAGCAAACAGTTAACGCACCAAAACTTTACATATTGAAAACTCCTTTGGATAAAGAGAAAGAGAACAATATAAGCCAACTTTTAAGATACTTACCGACTGATACGACAAAATTTTATTCGTTTCAAGTCATTTAATGCGTTGATCTCACAATGGCCCTTCACAACAGGAAAAGAAATAGGAATATGATTCTGATCAATGAGAGCATCTTTATAAATTAATCATGCATGTTGGAGATTTATAAGATCTGACAGCAGAAGCTTTTGCATATCATCATGCACTAGCTTTGTTGAACTAAGTAATTGTGAAATTCAGTGCACCGTCTTCATTCACTAATCATGAAGCTGAAGTTTTGGCCTGGGTTAATAAGGTTGTCTTGAAAGATAATTTACGAGCGTATCTGAATTTAGTTAAGTTAGTTAAAATGGTATGTATATGTGCTTCATTCGTCGTACTCAAGTTTGAATTTTTTTTTTCCTATAATTTAGATAAATTTAATGTAATTATCGTATATTATTTGTTGTAATCTCATAACATATGTATATCTCAAGATCAAAGTTGCAATCATGTATGCATGCATGTTTGTTGCTTCCTCGATATCGTTTTCTTCAGTATGTTTCGTCATGGCCAACTTTATCAAGCAAAAGTTAACGCACCAAAACTTTGCATATTGAAAACTCCTTTGGATAAAGGGCAAAGCATGTCGATTGAGACTTTAATTAAATTTAAGATTCCAAGTCTATAAGGTTCATCATTTACCAATTGTTTACCTGCCTAAGATGCCCTACATTTTCCTTTCTGGAGAAAGAGAACAGTATAAGCCAACTTTTAAGATACTTACTGACTGATACGACAGTATGTTATTCATTTCATGCCATTTATGTTGGAAAAACTCTAGTTATTAGCATGCATACTAGGTCACGATTCGATTAGATAACAAAGACTTACCTGGTTCAGCCATGATTACCATTAATACACCCAAGAATTCTTCTACTTACTCAAGACCTTAATTATATTCCAATGGTGATAGAATCATAATTGCAGAACGTGTTCTCTGTGAACAGGAAATCCTATATTATATCGAACTGGACTTCTCCAACTTCCATCTATCGTGATGATTGGATAGCAACTGCTATGAACTGCAGCAATCAGTTTCTTTCGACATGGAGCAATGCAGGCATCCTTATCACTTCCCATATCCCTTATTTTTTAGGATGTTTATTTTTTCATGTTTAAACTCCAATCAGTCTGTATAACTGCCAAATGTATTTCAGCCTTATTCAACTTAGTTTAGTTTTGTTAGGACCCGTTCATAATTTTATTATCTTTTATTTCGAAAAGAGTGTTTTGACCAAAATGCCCTTTAGAGGCAAGAAATGTTGACTCTTGTGTTGTGAGATGTGTGACCCATTCTCTTAGCATATTCTTATTCTACTCATTGCCACGAATGCATAAGCGCGAACGGAATTGAATTTGGAGGTAGAACGTAGTTTTTACGAATTTTGTAACGTCGAGTGTATTTCAGTATTTCATGTTTCATTTTTGGTGGTCTTATTTTGTTCCCTTTGTTCCCCATTGGCACCCACCTATGTCCCTTTGTTCCCCGACCTTTCCCTTTTTCCCGTGTGACCCTCCCCTTTCTCATTTATGTCACTCTCTCCCTCTCTCAAACTCTCAAACTCTCTTATCTCATTTCTCTTATCTCTCTAACCTTCCCCCTCTGGGAAGGCAACACACAAACAACAATGACAATGCTCCCACCACCGTCCAAACCAAGAGCACTATGAGCTTTGTCTTGTCCTCACGAGCCTAGAACACCCAACCTCACCTTGAACTTCCTTTCGGATCGTGGGGATCGAAACCCAAGTCGAGCGCTGTTTCGAGCCATTTTCCAGCCAAACAACGGCGAGTTAGCCGTCGAGAAAGTTTCCAGTGACCTCCGGCACTTTTTGAACTCCAAACAGGTGCGTTTGTAAGTGGCGACCTCGTCCTCTCTAGTTTGAACGACTCTTCAGTGACAGAGTATTGGTGAATGAACCCCTTCCAAAATGCATGATTTTATTACTAGAAATGCATACATGAAAAGTATGATTTTATGAAACGTTTATGAGTTATCAGATTTACGCTTCATGAAATATCATGCTTTATCAAAATTACGTTTATTGAGATGTTTATGAACATGGATTTATGATATGATGTTTGAGCTATTGAGCTATGATAAGATATATTTTGGAAAGATTATGTTCGTGATTTTTTGTGCTTACTTAGCGGGTATTCATACAATGTGCCTTCGGGAGGAAGATGTATGTGCCTTCAGGCAGTTGATATATATGCCTTCGAGTGGGCAATGTATGTGCCTTCAGGCGGGAGATGTACTTGCCTTCGGGGGGGGGGGGGGGGGGGGGCGATGTATGTGCCTTCGGGCGGGAGATGTATATGCCTTCGGGTGGGCGATGTAGGTG